ATTATAGAATTAATTTTCTTTTACTTACTTTTACTTACTTCTACCTATTTATACATGTAATTCTTGGCTTACATGCATATATCCGTGACACCTTGTTACATCCAACTAAGTCTTAAATTTCTCTTAACTTAGCCACCACCTAAAATCCTAACTACCATCATAGTAACTTGCTTTAATCCTTCAATACCTTTTGATTATTAGAAACTTACTATGGTTTTACTCTATGTGGTGGCAACTATGAAGATCTTGCTGATCTTCAATACTTCTTCTTTGTTAATTGTCAAAAACTTTCAAGCCTAATACCTCTATTAGTTCATGGTATCTATCCTTTATCAATCCTTTTGTAAGTACATCAACAAGCATATTTTTTGTAATATAATATTTCATACTTATTATACCATCTTCAATTTTTTCTTGTATAAAAGAATGTTGAAAATCAATGTAATTGGTTCTTGAATGGTGTTTGGAATTCTTAGCAAATTCAAGACATATTTGATTGTCACACATTATTGGAGTTGTTTCCAATTGCACTAGTCCAATGTCTTCTACGAGTTGTCTTATTGAACATGCTTCCATTGCACAATGATTTGCTACTATGTACTCATCCTCCATAATTGATCTTGCAATAGAAGGTTGTCTCTTATAATTTCATGAAATGAATCCCACTTGAATGAAGAATATATATATCTCATTATAAATCTTCTATTATTTTGATTTGCAATCCAATCCACATCACAATAAGCTTACAAATCAATATTTCTTCCACCAATGTATAATTTGAAGTTCTTTGTAGCTTTTAAGTACCTCAATATCTTCTCTATCATTGTTCAATGCAAAGGTTCTGCTTTAGACAAAAGTTTATTTACAACACTCATACTAAATGCAAGCTCTACTCTTGTGGCTACTATTACATATATAAATGAGCCTATTATTGCTTTATATAGAATACTTTATATTTTATCTTCAACTTCTCCATATTCTTCATCTATGAGCCTCATCAACTTCAAATTGGTCTTGAAAGGTATTCTAATGGGCTTGCAATCCTTTATATTGAATTATTTCAATATTTCTTCAATGTATTTGTTTTGGCTCATTATAATAGTCTTGTTATCACAATCTCTTACAAATTCTATTCTTAAGCAATAGTAGAATTCTTCAAAATCACTTATCTCATATTTCTTTTCTATTATGGTGCTCATCTAATCAAACTTTTTTATATTATTAGCCAAGATGATTGAGTCATCAATATAGAGGATTATAACTAGCAAGAACTTTTTAGATTGTATCACATATAATAAATGATCAGTCTCACTCCTTATAAATTATTTATTGATAAAAAATATGTCAATATATTGATACTATGCTCTTAATAATTGTTTCAATTCCTACAAGGATTTCTTCAACTTGTATATAAGGTGTTCTTTGCTTTGTTGTACAAATCCTTGAAATTGATCTATATTAATGTCTTTTTGGAATTCTTCATTCTAAAAAGCCATCTTCGCATCTATTTGATACATTTCCAAGTCCATTCTTATGCCAATTGCTATAATGGTCCTAATTATGGTGAATTTGGCAACAAGTGCATAAGTCTCATTAAAGTCAATATGAACAACTTATGAATATCCTTTGACAACTAATCTTGCCTTATGCTTTGCCACCACATCCATTGCATCTCTTTTAGTTCTAAATATCCACTTATAACCAATACTAGATCAATTTGCTAGAAGAAGTACCAATTTCCATGTATCATTGTCCATAAAATATTGATATTCTTCTTTTATAGCCTTCTGCTACTTGATTGTATCTTGGAACTTTATAACATCACACAAAAATAATGGATTAAGAAGGAGAATAATATTTGCATGTTCTTCACTTACTTAATAAAAGATGTGATTCTTCCACCATTTGCTATGTCGTCTTCTTTCTCTTAAAGAATATTTCTTTTTATTTGAAGAAGATTCATCTTATTCCATTCTATACTCTCTTCTAAGGTTCTTCTTTCTTAACGTTTTGTCTTTTTTGATTCAAAGGTTGATATTCATTATCATTATCATCATTATAAATTTCAATATCTTCATTGCTAGTCTTAGGAATTTATAAGGTCTTTTTCATCTTCTTTGCCTCTTAATCTTTATTCATACCTTCACCATCTTCATTTTCTTTATCTTATTCTTTATCTTTATTAAATTTAAAGATATGTCCAAAAACATACCATTATTCTCACTTAAACACATTTCCAAGTGCTCACAAGCACTCTTATGCTCCAAAAACTCAACATCACGACTTTTGATGATTTTTTGGTATCCAAACATATTAGCCTATATGCCTTGGTACCTTTATAATATTTCAAGAAAATATACTTTGTATCTTTTGTATTAAGTTTGGACTTCATATAATTTGATGTCTCTACATATATAATGCATCTAAAGGTCTTCATATGTGAAATGCAAGGTTGTCTCTTACTCTAAGCTTCTTGTAGTATCATTGATGTTAGAGTACTTATTAGACACTTATTCCTTGTATATACTACATTCACCACAACTTTTATCCAAAATTCATAATTAAGATTTTGAATATGAAGAATATTCTTTATTATCTCTACAATGGTTCAATTTATCATTTTAATAACACTATTTTGTTTTAGAGTGTATAGAGATATTTTTTGTCTAGCAATTCTTTCATTCTTCAAATAAACATCAAATTACTTAAACATGTACTCACCTCCATTGTTCATACATAATACCTTGATATTGCACTCATTTTTTTTTAACAAATATCTTAAATTCTTTAAACTTCTAAAAGCATTCACTATTGGCTTTATGAATCTAAATTCAAATCTTTTTTGAGAAATCATCAATGAAATTGAATATTGGCTCTGCAAATACTTGTGATCTTCATAGATCTACATATATTAGAATGGACAATCTCCAATAACTTTATAGCATATATTGTTATACTACTTGGAAATGAGGCCCTTTGTTGTTTGCCTTATATACATCCTTCATATATAAGTTGTATTATATTTAGGCATATTTTTCCAAGATCTAAGCTATTTACCATAGAATTAAACTTTGTCATATTTTTTATATTCAAATAGCCAAAGAAATGATGCTATATATTCAACTTATCTTGATTTAATATAAATTCATTAAATGAAGCTATTTCTACTCTGTTGACGTTCTTACACTTGAGGTAGTATAAATTTCCCTCTCTAGAACCCTTGGCAACCATGCTTCTACACAATGTTCTTACAAACCATCCATTTTTGTTGAATTGAATCATAAAACCTTCCATTACAAATTTACTCATCAAAAATAGGTTATGCTTCATCTTGGATTAATAGAGGATGTTTCTGAATCAGATTCTATTAGTTTATATATTCACAACCAGCTTTACAAATAATAGAACTAATTCTAATGACTTCACATGTGCCATTATCCTCCAAAATCACATTTGATGCAAAAATAACTTCATAAGTGTCAAATAAATATTTATAAGGTATCATATGCTTGGAGCAACTTGAGTCCATAACCTATATTGGTATAGCAGCCATGGAGGTACTATTTATTGCCATAAATATATAATCTTATCTTTCAAACTCATCTTGCATATTATTTACATTCTCTCTTTTTATCTTTCTACCTTTGTAATAATTTAAAACAAAATATCTTACTTTGCCACAAATGAAGCAAGTTTTGATATTACCTCATTGATTTGAATAATTGGCATTGTTTTGTCATGAGTGGAGTATTGAATCTTCACTTTGAGGCTCTTTTTATTTCCTCTTAGTCACTTCATGACTAAGTCTTGTTGTCACTTTGTCATATGTTGTGATTTTCTATCTAAAAATACACCATGTACTTATTTGCAAAGAGTTTGGCTCTAACTTATTAGATAAGTTCTAAAAAATAATGTATTCTTATTATAGATACCAAATAAATATAATAATAAAAAATCTATTAATAAATCTTTTATATTTAAGAAGCTTTATATATTAGGCTTTCTATAGCATCTAAAAATATTCTAACATCCTTTGCTATACCAAGTCATCACAATACCATTTACTCGTAAGCTTAATTTCCATTGAGCTCAAACAAAATCCATAATCTTCTTACAAAAATTCATCTTTACATCATAATTTTGTAATAATTTTAAATCTCTATCTTTAACATATATATAAAGTCTTAACTCCCAAAACACCCTTTCTTTTGCATAAAATGCCCAAATTATAGCACAACCCTTTTAAAATGATTTTTTCCTTTCAAAGATTTTTTCTCTTTGAACCAATAGTTTGGAATTTAAGAAAGAGAAAATAAAGATACACACACTGCCTAGTAAATAATATAAACACTATAAAGAATAAAATTGCATAAACACTTGGAATTTTCTACATAATATTGATGATGTAGTTTTTATACCACACTGAATGGAATAAATAGCATGTAATCATTAATATTTTCAACTAAAGTAGACACCAAAAGAAGAAAATAAAAATGATTTAAAATACTTTTTGTCCAAAAAAAAAGTGTATTTAGAATCAAAATGAAAAAGAAACTAACCTAACAATACGCATATTTATAAAACACATAAAAATGGTATCTAGACCTGTCAATATTGATTTAAATATTCACAATTAACTATTCCAATCGCATCTTCTACAAACAAAGCTACTCCCACCTACATATTTCTAAACTAAATTTATGATAAACATTTGAACTATTAGAATGTGTTGAAAAAAACAATATAAAAATTTGAAAACCAAATGGGGGAGGAGGGGAAATGATGATGGTGTGGGACTCTCGACCAAAAATGTGATAGCAAGCGTTGGTGAAGTGAAGTGGGAATGGGGGTGGGTCCTCCAATGCAAAGCAAAGCAAGGAAGCAAGATGAATGAAATCAGGAGAGAGCGGATGAATGAGTGGCATGGAGGACGGCTGGGCGGGGGGCGCCAAAGGGACACGAAGAATGAAGCCAAGGGAGGGAAGAGCGCCATGAAGGAGGAACAACAACAACGACACCACCAACAACGTGGAGCGAGAAGAAGAAGAAGCACCTTCAATCATCGCCATACAGCTTCCTTGCTTGCTTGTCTTGTCTTCTTGCTTTGTTTTGTATTCACTTTGGCCCTTTTTCTTCTGTCTGGGTTAGGGTTTCTTTCTCCCCCCACCCCTGTCTCTCAATCCGATTCCCTCCGGGACTGTCCCCGCTCCCTTCACCCCCCCCCCCCCACCTTGCTGATCTCCGCTGCATTGCTCGGTCCATTTGTTGCGGTCCCTCCGTCCCCAATTTGGTCGCATTTGGCTTCGGGTGCTGCTGCTCTGGCGCGACAAGTGCGAGGTCGGGTGGTGTTGGGCACAAAAGTTCTTGGAGTTGCTGGTTTACGGGGCAGAAGGCGTTCGCGGGAGCGTGCGAGGGGAATTCAGGCGATTGCGCGAGGCGAAGGAATGTGAGTGATTGGGGTGGAATTGTTTTTTGGTCTGTTTGGGAGTCTGGCTGGCATGTAGGAGATGGCGGGATGTGGCCCCTCGCGGTTCGGGTTTTGCGATGAGGGGTGCTGGGAGGAGGAGGACGGGGCGAGGTTCGGTGTGCGAGGTGGTTCCGGTTGGGTGCATGTTCGGGCGTTTCGAAAGTTTTTTCTCCCGCCTCGTAATTCCGAAGAGCGCATGTAGGTGTGTAGGGCGAAAGGTTTTGAGGGTCGGGGGCGTGAGTGCAGGTGCAATGGTTGGCGCGGTTTCGGTGAGTGCGTATCGGGTGTGTGTGTAGGGGCGACCACGAGGCGGTGGGGGTTCCTTGTGGTGATTAGGGCGGAGGTTCGAAATCACGGTTAGGGTTTTGGAGTGCAACTATTGAGGGAGGGCTGCGAGGTTGTACCTCGGCGGGAGCGGGCAGGCTTGCAGATGTGACCCCAGGTTATGGCGAAGAAGAAAGGAGGAGGCGGGAGAGCTCCCAAAGCAGGGGGCGCTGCTGTGGGGGCCTCCGTGGAGGCACCGTCCCGGGAATTTAACGTGGGTGACCTCGTGCTGGCAAAAGTCAAGGGTTGGCCGGCGTGGCCCGCGCAGGTGCGTTATCATGATTCAGCGAAAGAGCATTACCAGAATCTCGTGCAGAGGCTTGAGTGATATTTGAGCGGCAAAGTTTGTTTCGCAAGCAGGGAGAAACATGGCGTGAGGAATTGGCCTTGGAGCCGGATAGAATGTGTTGGCTCCTTCTCGACCCTCTCTTCTTGTTTCGCTGGCCGGGGAGCGGTGTCATTATCGTCGCGGCCGTCGGGGCGAGTTTGCACGGTTGCGTGGGAGGGTTGTGGGTTGTGTAGGCGGGTGGTGTCGTCGATTTCCTGGAAGTTTGACCGTACTGTCGGACCAGGCGAGGGTTGGATTGGATTGGAGTGGGCTGGAAGTTGTTCCATGTGTTCGGTGTCGTAAAGCTGAGAGAGGTGACCCTGCGCGCGCGCGCAGGCGTAGTGGGTAGTTTGTTGTCATGGTTCGGCTAGCGACGGGGTTCTGCTGTGTTGGCGGAGGTTCCATTGTTTCGGGGGCATCCGGCTATTTCCTTCCATGTCTACTCCATTTGGGCACTGTAGTTCTTGTCCCTGGCGTGCCGGGGCAGTGGATCACAATTTTGACTTCATTTTGGAACTGGACGTTGGCAGATTGGAAGATTGGAGACGCAAGGGAAACACGCTGGCAAGTATTACGTGACCTATTTTGGTCCAGGACAACAAATGTGAGTTTTTCGTCCGTGCTTTTGTCGCACAGTATTTTTCACATTCTTTGCGGCCGTAGAGATGCTAAGTAGTGCTGGTGCTGCGGCAGTGGTTGGTGCCTGCCGGTTGAGCTGTCGGAGTTTGATGCGGATCAGAGAGAAGCCTCTGTTCAGAAGTCGCTGAAGAAAACTGCGGACAAGAAGTTCATTTTCGCCGTGAAGGAAATATGTGCTTTGCAAGATGAGCGGGCAGGGGCCTCGCCCAAGGACTCCGCAGAAGAGGATGGGGAGGTATCCGATGACGACGGTCCTCGGGATATTGGCTCGGACGGTGGAGAAGAGGACGCGGTGGACAGGGAGACAGGTTTTACGGAGGAGGTTAAGCAGGACAGGTATCCCATGCCCGTCGTGACATTGAATCAGCAATGCGAGTCCGTTTATTTCAACGAGGGAAACGGTGAGGAGGATGTCGAAGATGGCGATGGCGACAAGGATTGGAGCGAGAGGCGACGCTACAATGATAGCGGTGTACAGACAGGGAACGATTCGGATGGAGGAGGGCAGGAACAAGAAGCGAGTGCCGATGGCGCGATAGGGGAAGGGTTGAAGCCGTTTGTAGAGCTTCAAAAGCCTGACTCGGAGTCGGTTGGAGGGAGGAGGCGTGCTTTCGGAAACGCGTTGGTGAGAATTAATCAGACTTCCGAGGAAGGTGTGGAGGAAAAGGCCGCGATGCCAGAAGGCGAGACCCAGGTGCTGACATACCAGTACGGGAGGAAGAAGCACCGGAACAAAATTAACAAAGATGTATTGCCTGGTGTTGTGGATGGGTTGGCGTCAAACCTTGGACAAGGAATCGTGGAAGACTCAGCTGCTGTGCATGCCGAAGCCAGCGATGTTCCGAAGAGGATGAAACCCAAAGTGGGCAGATCGTCCAAAGCCAATCAACAAGGTAAAGTGGGACAGGACAGCAAGTCGAGTGGTCACGCGGTTAGAAAGCCAGATGCTGGGGCGAAGAGATCTGAAATGGAAAAGGGCAGTGGAAGAGGTGCACATGAAGGCATCGGGAAACCTGGAAAGGACAATGACAGCGTCGTAAAGAGGGTTCCGTCCGACAATGGGCACAAGAGGAAGGGGTCTGATTTGAAGAAGAAAGACATGTACAGCCCTGGTGTGAAGGGAGAGGTTTTGGGCGGGGAGAAACGTGAACGCAAGTTGGAGGCGAAGAAGGACGTGAGGGAAGTGGCGGCGGAGGTGGGCGGATTGAAGAAAGAACCAAAGAAGTCGCAAGTGTCGAGCAAGGGTTCGGAGGTGGGTCTCGAGTTGTCAGGACTTGTGGTTTCCGTTTTGTGGTGTCATTGTTTGTTTGGAATTCGGAGTAATGGTGGATTATGAACCTTGATTTGTGGTGGCGGTTTTGGATGAGCGATGTGCAAGTTTTCGAGGCCGCACTCGCCACAGGGCGATGCCTCGTTACAGGTGCTACTGAGGTGTTTGTGAATACTGCTCCTTGGTGGTCCCGCTGTGATCGGTACATGGTGGAGTGACAGCGATGCGGAGTCTGGGAGGTGGTGTGCCGTGCACCAGTCAAAGGGAATGAGTGCAGTGAATGTTGTGCAGGGAAGTGGCGAGTTTTGGTATTGAAGGTTTCATGGTTTTGCAGGAAGTAAAGAAGCATTCGGCTACACCGAAGCAGCTGGGGGAGCACGTGAGAAGCGGTGTTGATGACTCGGAGAAGAAAGTTCCAAGCTCCTCTCCAGGTTGTTTTGGAGGATCGAAGGTGAAAGTTGAGGTGAAAGGGGAGGGTTCTGTGAAACGTAGAAGGTTGTCCGATGGCGAGGGCGAAGGGGAGGAAGGGAGTGCGGGAGGGGAGAAGGGTGATGGGGGGACTAGCGTGAAAGTGGAGAAGGATGAAAAAAGCCTTCCTTTGTCGAAGAGGCCTAAGATGGTCGCGTCGGAAGACAAGTCGGCGGAAGGAAAGCAGAAACATGTGTCCATCGGGCGTTCGAGTGTGGATGGAAGCAATGGCGAGAAGGATTCGCCCAGAGATGGCAAGTCCAGAGAAAGGGGAACCAGTCTACCCCCGAAAGCAGACAAGGACCGGATGAGGAAAGCGGCTCTGGATGGCGAGGCTGCCCTCCCTCCTTCGAAAAGAAGGCATCGGGCGTACGCAGCGATGAGTGCTTGTGAAGCGGAAGCCGCTACAGCAAGCGCGGCGGAATCCAGGGAGCAGGCAGGAAATGGAGTGGCTTGTAACCAAGACGGCAACGATGTGGATGCAGCCGCTTCCTCCGAGGGTGCGAATAGAGAGGGAACATCTGCGCTTGGGCACGAGGCCGGGAGTGTGGGTGGGTCCTTGAAGGATGCGACGGCGGCGCCACACGCTTGGGAGTCCACAGACGGAGGGCATAAGCAGCAGAAAGTAGAAAGCGGGCACGATAACGCGAGTGTCGAGGACAGGACAGAAAGCAAGAAACATCCACCCCTGAAAGACGCACAGGCAACAGATTCACCAAGAAAGCGCAGCGGAAGTGGGGATCCGAGCAAGGTGCAAACCGCGAGGTCAGAAGGTAGAGTGAAGAGTTCCAAATCGAGGAGTCCTGGTCCCACGAGATCGAGCTTTGAAGTGGCGACGGAGAAGCGGAAGGGGCATTGGGGCGGGTCCGAAAGTGGCAAATTGAGCACAAGTATGTCCGGGGGGACAGAGGCGTTCCCATCCCATGCAAAGTCAAGTTTCGAGGATTCAAGTATAAGAAACGCGTGAGTACCTGAGCATCATTTCGTACGCTGATGCGGTTGGAGTGACGCACGCAGTTGGGTGTGAGGGCCCCGATCCTTGATAGGGATTTTGAGCGTGTGCATTGACGTGATGAGTTTTTGGAGAGAGCGGTGGGTGTTCAACGTGCGTGCTGCACCGCATTGAGCATCACTGAATGCTTCACGTAGTGTAGATGTGGTGACACTGTTTGGAACTCGTGGAACGAGCAACTTTGTCGCCCTGAAGTCGTGTTTCTACTTTGGTTTTTGTTGTTGTCATGGTTGGAAAGGGCGGTGAGGTTTTCGTCCTATCGTGCGTGCGTGGCGTGCGGAGTGGTGGATGTATGAACGTTAGTGACGAAGGGGAGTTGAATGGAGTCTGTGGATTGTGTGCGGGCTCACGAGAGGTGTGTTGTTGGTGCAATCAGGGTTGCTCTCGCTAACGAGAAGAGGAATGCGCTGAAGAGGGAGGGGGATTCATCTGCCTCGATGAAGGCTCTGATCGCAGCAGCTCAAGTTAAGCAGCGAGCCAAGCAGAACTTCACAGGTGACAATTTGTGGTTCTTGTACCGTCCTTGTGGTTCTGAAGGTTACGCAGTTGACGGCGCACCTCGAAGGGTGTATTGCGGTGTCGGCGGTTGCACTGAGAGATGTTTGGGGATGTGTGCAGGCGGGTCTGGGCCGTTCGTGTTTGCAGAGCTCGACAAGTTTCCAAACAGCATGGTATGCAGCCCTTCTCCTTCACAAAGAAGAGGGAGTTCAGGGCTGACTCCACCAGTTCAACATGGGCAGGGCGGTGTCTTGAGTCATGAAGGACACAAAAGGCAAGATCTGGAGTACACTCGATACGGAGAAGCAGCGGTGGATACGGAAGCCACTATTGCACGGGATACCTTTGTGGGTATGTTGGAGACAGTTTCTCGCACAAAGGACAGCATAGGGCGCACGACGCGGCAGGCCATGGATTGTGCAAAGCACGGCATTGCGGAGCAGGTTAGTTATATGGCAGCGGTGTTGTGGCGCAGCGTGATTTGATTGTTCCGGCGTGCTCTTGTAAGCAGATGGTAAAGTTGGGAGTTGAAGGTGGGTGTTAGCGTGAGGTGGAGTTGTTGTAGGAGCATGTTAGTGTGAGGTAAAGGTGAACGTAGTGCTAACGGTGATGCATTGTCACATAGGATGCGTGGATATTTATGATTACTAGGCGGCTTCATGTTTACTAGTGTTGATGGAAAAGGCTGGCGTTGAGGCTTACTGAGAGCGGTACCTGAGCTTTTTGTAGATTGTTGAGGTGATTGTACGGAAATTGGAGAATGAACCCAGCTTTCATCGGCGGGTAGACTATTGGTTTCTTCTAGATTCTGTCACTCAAGTCGCCCATACGCAGAAGGGTAAGCTTTCCTTGCTATGGTTTGTGGATGTAATCCTTGATACCGAAAGCAAGGCGTAGTTTTATGATTTGCGTTGCTCGTTTTTCTCGTACGGGGTGGTAGCGACGCTCTCGATTTGTGCATCGTGTGGGATGTAGGTTGTTTGTGGGGTGCACAGGTGGGTGCTTGTAGGCAATAGCGCCGCATGTCGTGTCTGAGAGCGTGCGTGATGTATTGTTGGCGGAGTGGTTTTGATGGATTGCGTTATCGCAAGCGTTGGGTTGTGTGGGTGCTGATGAGTTGTGTTCGTGTGTTTGGGACGCATCAGTGGTGGCATACCTCCCGATCGTGCAATCTTTTCTTCCTCGAATACTTAATGCAGCTGCCCCACCAGGGGGTGGGGCGCGTGAGAATAGAAAGCAGTGTCTGAAGGTAAGCGGTGATGATGGTGGCTGTTGGGGCGTTGTATTTCGTGTGCATTTTCTTTGGTGGTGTAGGTACACATACATTCCAAGCATGCACTCGTTCATTCCTTTTATCGGTGTGTCAGGGGTGGGTGGGAACTTGTGAAATAGAGAGATTATTTGAGCGGTGCGTGGTGAAGCATGGGTAGCTACTAAGCTCCTTGTGCGTGGTCACCGTGTTGGGGTCTGTGTGAACAGCGTCTTGACGGTTGTAAAGCAAGGAATCTTTTGACGGCTGGTTCGTTTGTGGAAGTAACCGATAGTCGTGGTGCGTTGCAGGTGTTGAACTTGTGGCTGGAAAGGAAGGTGATGTCGGAGTCTGTTTTGCGACATTTCATGACTGAAATAGAGTCGCACAATGACGACAAGGGGTTGCCTGGAAACGGTGGCCGCCGACTTTCTCGATCTGAGCGTGCAGTGGACGATCCTATAAGGGACATGGATGGCATGCTAGTTGACGAGTATGGAAGGTAATGCTCCTGTTTCCATATCGCGTTGTGTAATTATGTAGTGAGCAATTACCTCATTTGGACGAGCTATTGAGTTGAGTATACTAAATCAGAACGCCGAAGGTAGATGTTGCGGTTTTCCACCGCTTTGTGGGTGATGCGATTGTTGAGGCGCGTGGGATTTTTGTACATGGAGTCGAAGTGGAATGTTGTGTTCATGGCCAGGCTTGGGGTGGTACAGAGCGTGTAAGCTTGTGCGGCTTGAAATGACAGTGAAGGGTGGCAACCGTCGAAAGTGTTTGAGGTTTTGTGGTCGAAGCTCGTAAGGTCCGGTGCGGCGTGAGGTGTAAGACGTGAATTTAGTGTAGAGGTTTTATGTTGGAAAGTCGTGCAAGTGGTGCGCTTTCATGAACGGTGGTTGTGTTCACTGCCCAGCAATGCGTCGTTGAGTTTGCCGGACGGGTTTTCCATCATTCCTCAGTTATACGAGGACGAGGAGGAAGGCAGCGAAGATGGGAGCAGGCAGTTGGAGACGGAGTCTGTGAGTGCCATCAACACCACGCGTTCAACCGAAGGGGAGGAACCGATCGACAGGCATCGAACCGTGCTGGAAGATGTGGATGGAGAGTTGGAAATGGAGGACGTTTCTCCAACAGCAGAGTCAGAGGTTTCAGGTATGAAGCTAAGGGAGCAGCTTTTGGGAGATGGTTATTCGGAAGACGCAAGGACAAACTGTGGGCAGCCTCCTCTGCCGTTGGGTCCTCCCCCTTCTGTTCCATCGCCACCTCCTCTGCCAGCAGATCCTCCTCCTTCACCCCCTCCACCCCCCCGATCCCCACCTCCGCCAGTGACTGGGTCGCAGGCAGCGTATCCAAGTATTGGGCGGAATCCGGCTCATTCACAGGATTCAAGTACTCATCAAGGGAGCGATTCACCGTCTACACCAAGTACCTACTCGGGCTTAGCTGGGTATCAAGGTCAAGGGAGCGGTGGGTTTTCTCAAGTAAGTGAAATCGGCCAGCGGTTTTGCACGCATTTTCACTGCAGACGCAGGTCCGATTGAACGGGAGCGTAGGTGTTTTGGAAATTGTTGTTGACAGTGCAGATGTGACGGCGTTTGTTTGCAGGCGGGGTCCAGGTCGAATGCGTATTCAAGTGGTGCAGGGAGTCAATCAGGCGCGTCGCTGGGTTCTCCGATTCCTCCCCTACCTTCTCAACACAGCAGTCCAGGGTTTGCCCTTGGAACACGTCTTCCACCCCCTCCGCCTCTCCCTGCGTCGTATCACCCTCAACGGGTGTGGTCGGAATCCCGGACTTCTCCAGGCGGCGATTCTGACGTTTCTCCCCGATCAGGGAGGGGCGGGGAGGAACCAGTGCGACAAGGAAACCAAGAGGTGTCTGGCAGCGAAAGAGTTGGGCAGTTGGGCGGCGGGCGACACGATGTTGGACCCTTCCCAAGTGGAGGTTGTACAAGCTCTGGACCTTCAGAAGGTGCAGAGGACTTCATCTTTTACACCTGTGGTTCCGGTGGGCCGCCGTCAGTGGCGTATTTGTGCTCAGTTTTCCGATGGTTTCTGGTTGGGCAGTTATAATGCAGCTGCAGAAGCGGATTGTTTTGACATCTGCTTTTGCATGTAAGGGGAGTTTGGTCATGTTGTGGATGCTTTCGTGTGTCGGAAGTGGCCGCTAGTGGAAGCTGTGGAGTGGACGTGGTATGGTCGGTGAGGGCAGTGCGACGGTGCTTGATGTGGATGTATGCCCGGCGAAAGTACTCTTATCTGCGTGGGCTGAAGTTTAGTTCCACGATGGTGTGCACGTGTGCAGGGGTGCAAGCGGGAGATCAGGGATCGGGAGTTGGCATGTCTGGTTATTCTTCGAATGGTCCACTTTACGAAAAGGAGGATAAATCATACAGAGTGAATGCGGGTGTTCGGCCTGGACCAGCAGGTGCCCAGTTTCCGTACGGGCCTCCCGGAGTTCAACCTGCGATGCGTGGTGGACCAGTCGGGGGACATTTCGGTTCACATGCACAATACCAAGGACCTCCCATGAACCCGTCAGGTACGCTTTGAGTGGCTTGAAGGGGCTGGGCGGAGGCTCTCGCTAGAAGCATGTATGTAGGACAGTTTGGTTCTGGAGGAGTGAATGGCTTCGAATCGGGTAGTTGCAGGCATTTGTGTGAGGTGTTGGTGTCAGGGGCTCTGTTTTTGAGTGTTGTGAATGTCTTGCAAGACGAGATGGTTGGAGATGTAGTGAGAAGGGTGTTGGGGATTGTATGGGATGGAGGTGAGCAAATGAGGAGGTTATGCTTGCTGAAGAGCTATTTTTTTCTGGTTGCACGGTCTGATGGGTGGGCGGCGATGTTTATAGGTGGTCAGGGGCCGATGCCGACGCTTGGGTTTAGACCCGGGGGTCCCTCTCATGGTTCGTGGAGGCCGAGTTAATTTATCCATTGGCGAGCAACGGGCAGATTTTGCCGCCTGCAAGGTAGGGAAGGTGTGCCTTCCGCTGTATAGAAGCTACGACTACCCGCAGGAGTGGAAGAAATGGTTGCTGGAGCTCTTGCTCGTAGTGGATGCCGACGATGACCATGCATTCATTGTTTACCATCTGGCAGGTTCATGTTTGGCGTTTTAGTGAAAAAACTGAATTTCCGAGTACGAACAGTGAACCTGGAGTTAAATGTGAGCTTGGTCACAAGTTGGGCTGAGATTCTCGAATCTTGGGAGGAACTGTAGAAGCTTTGAAGTTTGGGCAATGAGGCGATTTCATTGTTGGAGGGAGGTGTCGGGATGGAGTAGTATATCAAGGTACTGATTGGATGCTCGAGAAGGAAGCAGCAGCAAAGTAGGACGTTTTCCCCTGTTTTTTTTTTGGTTCTTGTACATTCTCTACTTTCCAATTAGAGGCTGCTGATTGCAGCCATTAATACTATGTAGATTTTGGGTCTGTATGGAAGAGTCTCGGTTACGTTTGCTTACGATGGTTTGTGGTTTGCGATCGTTTTGCATTATTGCGCGGTCTCCGTTGTTGGACTTGGGGTGGGTTTTACCGCATGTTTTTGTGCACGACAATTGTACGTTTGGACCCGACTGATTTGGCTAGAGTGCAGCAGTTGTGGTGCAATTGGACGTTGGGGGTGCACCTGTGAAGTTTTATGAGGATTGCCTGGGCGAATGTTTGGAATGCTTCTATTTTAGTTGTATGAGTCGTGGGTTCTGAAACGTCGCTTTTGAATCGGCAAGTGCCTGCGTGTGTGCGTTGTGTTTATTGTTGTTGTTTTTGTTGTTATTTTTGTGTCATTTTGTTGTTTGGTCTGTTTTCTTTGTGCACGTGTGCCTTGGTTCCGCCAGTGTTGTCTCTGGCTTTAGGCCCTTGCCTTAGCAACAACTGCGAGTTTTGTTTTTGTTGGAACTATGATCTCAATTTATGTCTTGTCTTATCATCCATTCTTGGATGAAGAGCATAATTAGTCTATGTCGTACTGTTGCTGTTGAGATTCGGAACTTACTCAACATGTGTATTTTTACTCTCTATTTTTACTCTGGGCTCAAAGTGGTCTTTTGTTGAATATATGTTTCTATTTGGCTCTTTGGGTCTCTCTGTTTTTTCTTACGTTCTGTTCATGTTGTGTTTATTTCCTTATGGTATTAGAGCGAATTTCGTTGCATAGTTTGCTTTTGAATCATTGAGATTTTTTGTTATCAAATTTTATTTTATTTTATTTTATTTTCTTCTTCTTCCATTATTTTTTCTTCTTCTATTAACACTGTCTCTTTTTCTACTTATCCATCGCACTCTTATTTTTATGATAAACTAGCATTTACAGATACTATTCCTTGTCCTTGGTGTATTCCAAGGTTTTTTTTTTTTTTTTTTTTTTTTTTTCCATACTTGTGAAATAACAAGCTCCTTCATAGACGACTTCTTTTCTCCTTCAACCTATATCTTCTTATGATACAATAGTATCCACAAATACACCACTACTTCCACTTGGACACATCTCCCACTTTTTACTACCACTCTTATGCTCCAAGAATTCTACATCATGACTTTTGATGATCTTTTTGGTATCTAAACACATGAGCTTATATGCCTTGGTGCTTTCACAATAACCAAGGAATATACATCTTGTGCCTTTGCATCAAGTTTGCCTCTCATACTATCTAGAACCTTGACGTATGCAATGCATCCAAAAATCCTCATGTGGAGTATGTAAGGTTTGTTATCAATCCAAGCTTCTTGGGGAGTCATTCCTTCAAGTGCACTTGTGGGACACTTATTTCTTGTATACACGCCATTTATCACAGCTTTCGCTCAATACTCATACCCAAGTTTTTGAGCATGAATCATACTCCTTGCCATCTCCACAATAGTGCGATTTACTCTTTCAACAACTCCATTTTGTTGTGGGGTGTAGGGAGTGGAGGTTTGTCTTACAATACCTTCATGCTTCAATAACTCATCAAAGTGTTTGGACAAATACTCACCTCCATTTCTCGATCGCAACACCTTAATCTTGTGCTCACATTGCTTCTCTACAAGTACTTTCCACTCCTTAAACTTGGGAAAACACTCACTCTTAGCCTTGATGATGTAAATCCATACCTTCCTTGAAAAGTCATCAATAAATGTGACAAAGTACCTTGCTCCACTCATAGATGGTGTCCTCATGGGTCCACAAACATCCGAATGCACAAGCTCCAGTAATTGGTTTGCTCTTGCTGCAACTCCACTAGGAAATCATGTCCTATGTTGTTTGCCTTGAATGCATCCTTCACAAGTAAGATTCATGGTAGAATGGCCAAGGTCTAAGCCACTTACTATAGATTAAAGCTCCTTCATGCTTTTGGCATTCAAATACCCAAGTCTTTGATGCCAAATGCCCACCTTGTCTTCATTTGATGGAAATTCAGCAAAGACAGCAACCTCCACTCCATTGGATCCTCTTGTAATTGATAATATAGATATTGCCATCCCTAATCCCTTTTGCTACTTCTTAGCCTTCCATGGTTCTCACAAAACATCCATTCATGTTAAATTGCACTTTGCACCCATGAGTTACAAGTTTACTCACCGAAAGGAAGTTCTTCTTCATCTTTGGCACATGCAACACATCCTTGTCTCAAAATTTGTGCCACACTATCTTTGACATTCAAGATTCCAAAACTGCTTGGAATCACAACAAGAACATGTTCCTTACTAACACTACATCTGACACCATAGTTGTACTCAATTGCTAGGAGTACACTACGATGCTACTTCCTTTATGCAACATATAAATGATGTTATTAGAGATCTAATAGTTGTTAATTTGAGGCAACCTTTAGAAGTCATAACTTATAGAATACTAAATTGTCTACCAAAGCATTTTAAAAAACCATCTATAAATGAGTTGTGGAATCGATTGCATGTGGAAGAAATTAAAGTGGCTTTTAGAAAATCTCAAAATTACAATATAAATCAAATATTTTTACATTAAAAAAGCATCATATAAATATTACATTCATAATTTTTTCTGTTGTAAAATTTTATTAAGGCTTATAGTGTCGCAAAGACCTCTATAAACGTTTTTATTTTTCAAAAATATGTGTTTCATTTTCTATAATTTAGGGTTTAGAAATCCTAAATAGGGTCTTCAGACCCTGATTAGAGATCTGACTTTCATATTTCTTCTCATGTGAGAACTGTGTATGGAATCTAAATGCATACAAAACTTTGCTTATCCAAAGCAATCCCCGATAGATAGTTTATTCATCTAGTCCAGGTCCAGAGAGTCCATCACGCTGCTCGTCCGTATGTCTTTGCATGTTCTCCACCTGCTATACCTCCGGCTCCCCTTCCATTAGGATCATCAGAGCATTTTTCAACCTACTCTTTTACTTTTCGTATGCTCTCTTCCACTTCAGATATTTCCTCTTCCACTCTTCCTATGTACTCTTTCAGTCCTCGTATCTGCTCTTCCATGCTTCTTCCTTGCTCTTCCAAGTTTCCACCAGCATCATCCATTCTCCTGCACAACCCAATGCAATAGACAACCAACGACCAGATTCCACTTCTTACCGGATTCAAGAATGAAAGATCCATAATATGGTGTTTGAAATCAGGTGGAGTGAGGACCTCCTAGAACCCAAACATGCGCCTTGAGAATACCTTCTCTTGCAATCCAGGGCCTCTATTGAAAGTACTCCAAACATGTTCAATATATTTGCAAGACTAATGTGAAAATACATAAGATAACTAGTCCATAAGCACAAGAGACACTAAACACTAAAATGAACATGCACCCACCACAATTCGCTACTTTCGAAGCAAAACTCAACGTAATCAAAACCTCTACCACATGACATACTTCAAAAATTTCCTCTTCCACTCTTCCTATGCACTCTTTCAATCCTCGTATCTGCTCTTCCACGCTTTTTAGCTGCTCTTTCAAGTTTCTACCGGCGTCATCCATTCTCCTGCATAACCCAATGTAATAGGCAACCAACGATCAAATTTCACTTCTTATTGAATTCAAGAATGAAGGATCCATAATATGGTGCCGAAAATTAGGTGGAGTGAGGACCTTCTAGAACCCGAACATGCACCTTGAGAATACCTTCTCTTGTAATCTAGGGCCTCCATTGAAAGCACTCCAAACATGTTCAAACTATTTGCAAGACTAATACAAAAATACACAAGTTAACTAGTCCATAAGCGCAAGAGACACTAAACACTAAAACCAACATGCACCCACCACAATTCGCTACTTTCAAAGCAAAACTCAACGCAATCAAAACTTCAACCACATGACCTCACTTCGGAATTCTCGATGTTGAATTCTAGCAACTAAATTGGTATGAATCAAGATTTAGCTCGAATATATAGTAAACACTATCTAGACTAGGTGACACATGATTGCGGATTGTATGCAATCTATTAGCATTCTATAAAGAAGTGCTGCCACCGTTCAGACATCGTAACGCAGTATGAATTACCTTTCTTTGGATTATGATATATTTCAAAAATATCCATGTTTGAAGCATTGTTGCAGGCAACAAGCTACAAATACTTCGTTTCAAATGTAGAAATGCCTCATGCTCACAAAAGATGATTAGACATTTCATATTTGGTTAGGTGATAATGGTATGGTACAAGCCATTGAAATGGGCACCATTGTAGTGGAGGTGGTGGTGAAGGGCATAAGCAAGAGAATCACTCTCAAGGAACATGTTCTTGTTGTGATTCCAAGCAGTTTTGGAATCTTGAATGTCAAAGATAGTGTGGCACAAATTTTGAGACAAGGATGTGTTGCATGTGCCAAAGATGAAGAAGAACTTCCTTTCGGTGAGTAAACTTGTAACTCATGGGTGCAAAGTGCAATTTAACATGAATGGATGTTTTGTGAGAACCATGGAAGGCTAAGAAGTAGCAAAAGGGATTAGGGATGGCAATATCTATATTATCAATTACAAGAGGATCCAATGGAGTGGAGGTTGCTGTCTTTGCTGAATTTCCATCAAATGAAGACAAGGTGGGCATTTGGCATCAAAGACTTGGGTATTTGAATGCCAAAAGCATGAAGGAGCTTTAATCTATAGTAAGTGGCTTAGACCTTGGCCATTCTACCATGAATCTTACTTGTGAAGGATGCATTCAAGGCAAACAACATAGGACATGATTTCCTAGTGGAG